TTGGGTATTGACAACATACTTTGTCGCTTGCTCTACGGTCTGTTTTTCACACCACGATTCAGTCACCGGCCCCATAGGCTTCTAAAAGCAGTACCCTCTTGATTATTTAAATCCATTTTTGCTAACTCAGACCAATTCTGCGTTGTTTCTGCTCACTTAAAAAACAATATGGCAGTCACTTTGGTGTATTGCAACTAGAGTGGATTATTAAATTTGCATATAAGCGACTGCTATTGATGTTTTGAACCACTGTTCTCTGTTCACCTTCGATGTGACCAAAAGAGACTATCTGTTGAAATATTTTTCTACGTTGACGACAATGTGCGTCTGGCAAGGGTAGGTCGTCCTCCGTCCATTGCCCACTCATGCACACGTGCGTGTGAGATGCAATTCCCCAAGTACATCTTCAAATGGTAATGAATATCAATTGCTGCAACGTCTGCGACGGCTAGAAACTACCATACTACGCTGCGAAATCTTGGACGCTTCAGTTACTCTAATGTCCCATTCACAATGCAAACTTAAGCATAGCGCATATTCATAAACATTAACGTAAGTGATAGACTGAAGTATTCACAATGTCTAACATAAACGTAAGCAAAATGAGAGTTTCTACTGGCTGTGAGACATTCTGGTTTACTATCGGTTGGACGTGAGAATCGATTTTAAGTATCCATGACCCATATGGCGGTAATTCTTCTATCGACTTCGCTCCAATTTCGATTCTCTATTTTGAGTTAACGTATTGGTTCATTTCTTATGTCTCACTTAAGCGTAAGCACAGAAACTTGAAGCTTGCAAGCTTTTAAGTTAACTTCTTACGTGTTATGCTTAGGCGAACGCATTGTGAATGAGTCCGCTTATGGACGTAGCCCTAACTTTTATGTTAACGCCATGGTTATGTTTATGTTTGCATTGTGAATGGGTCTTTACTCCCTGAAGATGCCGGCTGGCCAATCTAGGAAAATACAGCTCACAATCAATAATATAAATTCAAAAAAAAAAAAACTCCCGTGATCGCGCGTATTCTGATTTTTAGTAGCAAAGCCAGCAGCCTCATCTCTCTTTGACGAACCTATGTATTTAAAAATTAATTATGAAATTATAGTTTATAAGTATCACATATTTAATTACTACTTTCATTTTAAAAAAATTGCAAAAAATATAGAGAACTTGTGTTCTATGGCACGTTTATTCAGTGAGTGAGCAGTACCCTAACAAACGGGCCACGGACCGTGCCCGAACGTTCCTTCGTCTTCCTTGTACTCCTCACACCTTCACTTACCCACACTTACACTTACATGAACTACACTACCACACATGCCGCGAGATCGGTCGGGAGCTTAGAGGTTGTCCTGGCTGGGGCGGTGCTCTGGTTGGTGGGAGATACCTTGTTGAGGAAACCCCCCTACTCGGCAGGGTAGGTCGACGCCAGATCCCACCTTCCAGCGGGGGAAGATCACAGCAACATCCAGATGAAAGCATGCACTGCGCTTACGGGAATGACCTTCACTGTTGACGCGCCCGGAATCACTAATCAATCAATAGAGTTCATTCAGTGCTGTGCATTTTTTCGATGTTTTTATTGCTTAGCTACTCGCATTTCTTTCTAGCAGCAGTTGTTTTTCTTCTGAAGAAAGGAGCTGCCACCTAGGATTTGGTAGGCGGGGCGCAGGGAAGTCGTTCCGAAAGCTGTTTTTTGTTCAGCCATTTCTTTAGAAACTCTCGAATCGGGTGCTTCCGGATAGAGATTGCGTAGTTTCACCTTCTCAATCAACGGAGTGATTACTGTTTACATGCTAATGCTTGAAGTGGCTACTTCCGATGATTCCGATTTGTGGTCCGGGTTGCGTTCAAGATAAATCATGTTGTGCTCCAACAGCGCACACTTCCTCGTATCATTTGAAGCTTACGTTATTATATAAGACTATAGTTAAACTCTCAAATTCGTTTGCAAATACGAGAATTTATTAGGACTGGCATTTGAAGAAGAGCGCGAAGAAATCATGAAAAAAATCGATAAAAATAAAGAAGTGATTGAAGAATTTTTGTAGCAAACAGAATTCAATTAGATACAATACTCTTACTCCAAACCATTACACAAACATCTCTTCACTCTCACTTCTGACAAATGCTTCTATGTCCGCAATGTTATATTAACTGAATGTGAGTGCTGATTTCACGCACTTTAACAAATGGCAGGTAATCCATCTTGCCAGCACTGATTTAGTGCATCTAGTTATCCCGTCAAGAGTATTACGTACTTCGTTGGACTGGCAGATAAGAGACTACAGCAATTTGTAATATCAACAGCATATTAGAAATCTGTAAAAGAACTCGTGAAGTAGCCTTCATTCACATTTGTCACTGTACTGTCAAAACGTAATTCCACACTTTCGTACGTTTATAGTCATGCCAGTGAATCGATTATTAATGGATAAATCACAAACAATAAACAAGTATATTATCAAATGAAAAGTTAATATACTTTCAAGGACATTTCAAATACAATAAAAATTTTCTGGATCATATTATTGTCAAGCCAATCCCTAATATTACGTAAACTACTTGTTTCGAAATATTGCCACAAATCTGTACTTGGTTCGCACACTAAATAATTAAAGAGCGAAGAGTAAGTTCATTAAATTTTGCTCATTAACTGTACATGTTTTTCGGCTTTGTCGAGTTACGTCCAGCGAAATACTGTTTCGTACGAGACGTTTCCACATTTCGGAAACATTTATTCTTGTTAAGTTTGCAGACAAATGAACTATTTGTGGAAAAGTCTCACATTTCTTTGGGAAAACAAACATCCATAGTAACATCTTGAAGATTAAACGAAATACACAGTAAAATTTCAAGCTGAAGTTACGTCCCCAAGTACTACAACCCCACCCCCTCCCAAGTCATCCTTTTGAACTACGCCGAAGTCTGCCTCGAACGGAGACCGCCCTGTGCACATAAAGGCATCTTGGGGCGGGCAAGGCAGGCTAGAGGATATTGTGCCCCGAGGGGACTTTCACAAGAGACGCCCGCACAGAGCCCCGGGGTGGAAAAGTCACGGGGGTGGAATCTGGAGGGAGCACCCAGCGCCGGAGTCTCCCACGCTCCGACATTCGGATGCCTTTCCACCCGGGTAGAGCGGATATGTGGAATGCGGTAGGTGGGCAGTTTGTCTCTATAGATTCCGTGATGGTAGCATATTCCAAAAGATGGCTGTCACCTAGCTGTAGCCAGCATGTTTAACAGTTTTCATATTCATTGACCATGTTGTGGACATTCATGGGTGATACACGTTGCTTGGGCAAGACCCACTGAGGATGGTAAAAGTGTTTTCCCGAAAGTTAACACTGTATAATAATTAATAAAAATTATTAAACCTTTTATGAAGATTATTTCCTTTACCATATTGTCTCTATAGTAATCTTCTAAACACTTAACATCATGATACGACGTTTCCGGAACGTTGGTTTCGTTACCATCTTCAGGAAATATGACGAAATCAAACATACAAAAAGGGGATATATTTTTTTACACAATATTCACAAAACTGATTAAGTAATTTAGAATTTATAAATTGGCAACATACATTAATGTAACTACTCTGCATGCACACGTCAAGGCACGCTATCGTTTGAACGCCAACAAATTCAACTGCAACTGTATTGCCACTAACCAAACGTTGCTATACGTTGGCCTTTCTCTTGAGGTAATTTAAATAAGAACACTTATGTTCTTTGTAAAAAGCAAAATTTTTTGTTTAAAAGCAAATGTATTATTCGAGAATTCATGTAACGCGAATCAATGGACAATGTTACCTACTCCGCTTTCGCGGGTATCTTGTTCCTTTCTAAAGAACCGCCGATTTATTTGCTTAAGTGTCTTACCCAATTTTCGCCTCACTTCCAAAATCCTAACGTCAATACTAAATGGGTTTTAACTAGATTTTCACGTAAATACTATCGGCCCGACTCTCAGGTGCACGAGGCTTCGTCGCTGCAGCCCTCCATTGTTTTTTTCGACTAGTTCCTACAACTCGAACAAACTTATATTTTTATTTCGTAACAATCCCGAACATAAACGATGTTCTATATAATAAAAAAATATATAATTCAATACACTAAATTTACTATTACGGTAGGTTTTAGTTACTCGACCGTCGATATTTACATATTATTGTCACTTCTCATTACAATAAGAGGGAATTACTTCGCATTAAAGTATGTTTCTACAAATGCGAATGGAAACTTTTACATATAAACGTATCTTTTATTTCAGTTTCCAGTGAATGTTAGAAACACAAAAATTTCTCGCTTTCATCTTGGGTTACATGATTATTGACGAGTAAGAAAAAAGAGCGGATATCTTCTTTGCACTTACAACAATATAAATAATAAAACACGCAAAATGGCAGTAGTTATAATGAGGTTATGTTCTGTTAATAATTACAATAAATGAAAATACATTTATGTTCATTTCATTGATTTACTTCATACATTTTACGGAATTTGTGCATAATACAGTGTCAGCAAAAGAAATACATTCACTCATGTAGGAATTAAATATCCGATTTTTTATTTTATTTTTTTTTAATGTAAACTGACAAAATAAATGCATATCAATATTATTTGCAACAAAGAAAGATCTCATTTTACTCGCGATAGCTAGCGTGATTCATCCACAGCCTGTTTGAATGTCTCGCCCAGGCAGAAGTTGTATACCAATGAGTATATGATTACAATCTCAAAGAGGTCTTAAGAACATCCACCATTATGCATGGATCAAGATTACAGACTTATCATGTAATTCGTGAGACAGCGATCTTCACAACAAGATCCAATGACAAATCCGACGTGCAATTTGGGCCACACGCCACTGCAGGAGGCGAGCGAGTCTTGTATCCCCCACCCTTCACCCACTTTCTGCCATCACCAGTGGCGGGAGCGGTGGGTTCCTTGCGAAGGCGGCGGAAGCAGGGATACACCTCCTTGAGTCGTCTGGAAGGTAGGAGGAAAAAACTTTCCAAACTACGATGGAGGGAACGTTGATGACATGACTGAGCCCTATGGAGAAGGACATAAGCTGATTATATTAGACTTCCTACTTCTGGATTTTCAAGAAAACACGATTACAAAACAATGATGTCGGAAACGAATTCCAGAGGTGTGCATGTGAAGTCGAATCAATATGTGAAAAATAAGTGATTAAGCAACGTTTTAAGAAGTAAATCATTTTACACCACATTATCCGGCAGTTGCTAACATAATTCTTTTCGAGTGCTCTACAGATTAAAAAAATCCCCAGCAAAAACTATTGTAAATAATATTGTATTGTTTTAAAATTACTAGTGCAAATATTTTCTCAACTAAAGCGTTTTCATTGCTGAAGTTTCAAGTTTTAAAGACATTACTGAAAACAATATATATTTCTTTACGTCTACCTTGTGTTCAGTTACTTCTGTTGTACATAACATATCATATTGAAATAAAATACAAAAACTTTATTAAATTTGAGGGTAAATCAAAATGTATGTACTCCATCACTTAAACTAGAATGTACATTTTAAAAGCTCCTAAAATCTCTGTGTCGAAGGTTTGGCCTAGACAAGCTGATTGATTCTAGGGCAGAGTTTGCTCCTCGTGATTGCAACGTCTACTGCGATTCGACCCAGGACTTCAAAGCGCTCAGACCCCGTAGGGCCCGGGACAGCAAAGTGAGGGGAATCACAATGAAACATAAATCTACATATAGTTTCGTCGTAAATTGAAGGAATATTCTGAAGAGTAAATTATGAATTAAACTTGACTAATGGAATGTTCATGAAAAGTGTTCCACTCTGTTTGTACATCTTCCGTGTCGCACGCAAAGGTCATAATAAAAACATAAAAATAAAATATCTCATCTCTTCTTAATTCAACGATATTTGTTTACTTTGAAAGTTGACTTCCACAGTAAGAATGTCCGTGTCTAATTCATCCCAAGACTTTAATTTCCCGCCAAATGAAACCCATTACAAAAGCTTTTATCAGTTTTTACAATATTCAATGCAATAATGAAATGGACCATTACAGATAAATATACTTCGCTTTCCTCGGCAATTATCAAATTATGAATGATGACTCGGACGATTATACGCTATACCTGGTGGTTTTCCTTTACATTCTAGGTTGCAATCGTAAAGTGAAAACAATCATATTCTGTCCGGAATTCAAAGGGCTCCAACCCGAACGAACAGCTGTTGTCGTGACTGACATCTTCCCTATATAATTCGATAATATTTTACCGTATACAATTATTATTTCCATTAGATAAGACAACACAATACCAATAAAAATAATTTTTAAACAATTGGATTACGTGTTAGTTTAGCTGCGTGTTTCTTTCGGTCCATTTCCACGCGGTGTGCGCTGCGTAGTAGGATCCTCCTTCCCCCCACCCCCTCACCCTGCGCCACCGCGACGGCGGCGGCGGCGGCTCTGACCGCTCGCGTACAATGGCGCCGGCGGCCGGCGTCGGTCGGCGCGGCCGGCGCTGGGAGCGGGCTGGGACCGCATTCCTCCCGCGGCCACATCGCGCAGGTGCGGCGGCGGCGCGGCGGCCAGCGGGGGAATGGACGGCGGCGGCTGCAGATGTCATGCGGCCGCCGCCCACGCCGTAGCCCTGACCGCCAATCCACCCGCCACGCGATACTCATCGCAAGGCCTAGCGATGCTAGTAACCCTACATACAGCAGTGGCTCGAAAGTCACGCGCTCAATCCCGGATGAGAACGAGGGGTTGGAGAGGTGATGCGAAACTCACAATCCTCTCGTACAATTGATATTTATCCATGAAATGAGTTAGGATTATTTGATGATATATGCAATTAATTTATTTCAAACTTTTATTCAAGACATTGAACCATGATCATTTTTGATACTACTCTCTAATTTAGTTATTGATCCATTTGTTATGTATAGTTTCGATCAAGTGGCGGGATTAAATAACTGATTAATCGTATAACTTTCATTGCTTCTTTCAAGCAGCATATAAACAGCACAATAAGTTCACCGAAAAAATAGGCGACAGTTCATTTGCAATAAAGGTGAATTCTGTTTAATGCTATTCAGTAGTGCTTCTCACTTCAAGATCCACAATAGTCAATGTCAAGCTATCTGCTTAAAAGCAAATGATTCATGGATATCATAGCGGGGAAAAAAATGAAACCTCCAATGCCTAGAACTAAGTATCCATTGCTGTCTCCTTACATAGTATTTGTAATAACGATGTACTGTGAAAACTTCTGGTATTCATGCATTGAATTATTCGAGGCTGTACTATTCCTAGTACAAAATTGTTTCTCCCAGTTTGCAGATTACATGTAATGCCCCAAATAAAGAAGTTGGCTCAGGTGCTGGCGTCCTCACCACATTGAGTTCACCCTCTCGCTCACTTTGCATCTTATCACCACCGCATCGCTGCTCTTTAGAACGTAACACATCCGTTCACTTTAGATTTTTCCGCATGCGACACACATCGGCTCACTCTTAGTCCGCTCTACAGCACCCAGCAACAATCAACTTCAAAGCCCGTATAATCCATCACAAACCAGAGTTT